AAGAAGAAGAAGAAGAAGAAGAAGAAGAAGAAGAAGAAGAAGAAGAAGAAGAAGAAGAAGAAGAAGAAGAAGTCCTCAAGTCATAGCTGCTTGTGTGTTTGTTTATTTATTTATTTATTTATTTACTTATTTATTTGCTCATATAGGTATCAAGGTCAGATGTCTTTTCTCACTCCCCCCCCCCCCGCAGTTGTTCCTGGGACTCAGACTTCCAGTCAACGGACTCGGTGGCCAGTACTTTTACTGTCTTAGCCAGCTCACTAGCCCACATTCATTTATTAATATACTCACCCAACAGGCCTTTGTGGCTCTTGTGTCCAAACGCCTCACTGTATTTTGTGGAAATAACAAGTTTGTCACTGAATTTTGCAAGTTATCACAGATTCCAAATAATCATTGTCTCCTGAAGAGCGTTCATATATGTAGTGGCACATGCCTTCAGCTGAATGCCTTTAGTCCAGTTACTCAGGAAGCAGAGGCAGCAGATCTCTGAGTTCGAGGACAGCCTGGTTTACAGAGTGAGTTCTGGGCCAGCCAAGTGCGACATAGTGAAACCCTGTCTCAAAAAATAGATTGTTTAGACACATCAATCTTCCTGTCCTTTTATTGTTCTGTTTGCGTTCTTCTTCTTCTGGTGTGGTTTGGGGATTTTCGATACATTTATTTTATGTCTGTATTTTGCCTGCGTGTATGTCAGCTCAGCATGTATGTTCCTGGTGCTCACAGAATTTGGAAGGGGGCATTGGATCCCCTGAACTGAAGTTACAAGTAGTTGTGAACCACCGTGGATGGGCTAGGGATCAAACCCAGGCCCTCCACTAGAACAACAAATACTCTTAACATCTATCTCTCCAGCCTCCTTTTGTTTTTGAGACAGGGTCTCACTGTGTAGCCATGGCCAACCTATAACTCTCTATATAGACCAGTCTGCCTTCAAATGCACAGAGATCTGCCTGCCTCTGCCTCCTAAGTTCTGGGAAGAAAGGCATGTACCACTACATCCAGCTAATTTATTTGTTTTTTGAGAAAGAGTCCCACTCTGTAACTTAGGCTGACCTCAAACTCATAGCAGTCCTCCTGCCTCAACCTTTCATATACTGGGTATGATATTATTACAAGTATAAGACGATATGCTCATGATTAATTTTAATTAGGGAAATATGGTCATTGTGCTTAACAGTTTTATGTCAACTTAAGAGGAGGGGACCTCAATTTTAAAAATGCCTCCATAAGATGGGACTATAAACAAGCCTATAGGGTATTTTCTTAATTAGTGATTGATGGAAAGGGCCCAACCTGTTATGGGCGGTGCCACACGGGCTGGTGGTCCTGGGTTCTATAAGAAGGCAGGCTAAGCAAGCCAGTAAGCAGCACCCCTCCATGGCCTCTGCATCAGCTCCTGCCTGCAGGTTCCTGCCCTGCTTGAATTTTTGTCCTGACTTCCTTCAATGATGGACTAAGATGTGGAAGTGTAAGCCAGATAAACCCTTTCCTCCCCAACTGCTTTTGATCATGCTGTTTTCATCACAGCAGTAGAAACCGTAACTAAGACAGTCACCATCATAGGAAAGATTAAAAAGAAGTATTTCTGCCAATTCTCAAAGAGCAGAATGGGGCTAGAGATGTAGCTCCATTGGCAATGTGCTTGCCAAGCATGCATGGTGCCCTGGGTTCAATCCCTGGCAGCACCATGAGAAAAAAAGAAAAGAAAAGAAGGAAGGAAAGGCATGGTAGCTGAATCCCAGCATTTGGAAGGTGAATCAGAAGTTCAAAGTCCAGGATGGACAGATGGCTCAGCAGTTAAAAGCACCAGTTGCTCTTCCAGAGGACATGAGTTCAATCCCCAGCTCACATATGGCAAACTTACAACCATCTATAATTCCAGTTATAGGAGATCTGGCACCTTCTTCTGGTCTCTGAGAGTAGCAGGTGTGAGTGTGTCACACACACATAAATGTAGGCAAGACACCATACACACAAAATAAAAATAAATCTTCCTGAGGTGGGGTAGGGGGGAAAATGGTGCACATCTTTAATCCCAGCACTTGGGAGGCAGAGGCAGAAGCAGGAAGATCTCTGAGTCCAAGGCCAGCCTGGTCTACCGAGCAAGTTCCAGCACAGCCAGGGCCACACAGAGAGACCCTGTCTCCAAAAAAAAAAAAAAAAAAAAAGGGAAAAAAGTTATCAAGCCAATTATAATCATGGTGGCACATGGTGGCACATGCTTATAATCCTGCTTGGAAGAGAGAGGCAGGAGATCCTGTTTTTGTTTTGTTTTTGTTTTAAGATTTATTTATTGGGCTGGAAGGATAGCTCAGCCGTTAAAGGCTAGGCTCACAACCAAAAATATAAGATTTAATTATTATGTATGCAGTATTCTACCTGCAGGCCAGAAGAGGGCACTAGATCTTACTATAGATGGTTGTGAGCCACCATGTGGTTGCTGGGAATTGAACTCAGGACCATTGGAAGGGCAGCTAGTACTCTTAGCCTCTGAGCCACCTCTCCAGCCTGAGATCCTGTTTTTTTTTTTTTTTTTTTTTTTTTAAAAAAAAAAAAAGGTAAAACAAGAGCCAGTGAGGTGACTCCAGTGATAAAGGTCCTTGCCACCAAGCCTGGCAGTTGACGTTTACTCCCTGAGATTCAAATGACTCAAGGAGAGAACTGACTCCCACAACTTGTCATCTGAAATAAATGTGGGACAGGAGGGATGCCTCCGTGGTAGAGCACTTGCTCTTGCAGAGAACCTAGGTTCAGTTCCCAGCACCCACATGGTGGTTCAATCATCCCTAACTCCAGTTCCAAGGGATCAGAGCCCCTCTTCTGACCTTCATGAGCACCCGGCAAACACATGGTACACAAACATACATGCAGGCAAAATACCGAGACACCTAAGATCAAATTTAAAAATCTAAAAAGAAAAAATAATTCCCGGCCTGGAGAGATGGCTCAAAGGTTCAGAGCACTGGCTGCTCTTCCAGAGGTCCTGAGTTCAATTCCCGGCAACCACATGGTGGCTCACAACCATCTGTAATGAGATCTGGTGCCCTCTTCTGGCCTACAGGGATACGTGCAGGCACAACACTGTATACATAATAAATAGATAAATAAATCTTTTAGAAAAAAATAATAATTCCCACTCAGCAAGAGAGAAATCATTCCTGGTACTGGAAACCTAGCCAGCTACCTGGATCTTGGAAGAGAACCTACAACCAACACTTTAGGAAACCAGCACAATCCCTAACTGCCTTCCAAATATTTGCCTCCCTATACCTCACTCTCCACCAAGGAAATGTCTCTTTATAAGACATTCCAGAAAACCACAACCAATCAAAACAAGGACTTCTGGAGCCCACTCCCAACTGATCCATCTACAATATAATTCCCACGCCTAAGATTCAGGGATCTCTGTGGAAGAGTGAGGCAGAAACGGCTGTGAGAGCCAGAGAGAACCAGGATGTTTGCTGTGAGATTATATCTCCTGGAAATGTCTCGTCAACACGGCTGCCTACACATGACCTGAGCAATGAGGACACCAAGAGACATGTTAACATTTGCGGGGAGCTCGTGCAGCTTCAACCCTAGACAAAGAACTATAGGCAACTCGGGAATGCTGAGAACTGGAGAAACAGTCTTCCGTAGGGAAGAGCACACCAATAGTTATCTAATATCAAATGGTCAGTCCTGGAAATACATACAGACCAACAACATTATATAGGTCGCAGTCATGCATTTAGGAATATATAGATCAATAATTAAGGAGAAAGAGGCCATGAATTTGAGTGAGAACAAGAGAAGGGTGTATGGGAAAGGTAGGCGAGAGAAAGGGGAAGGAGGGAAACGATATCATTATATCCCAAAAACAATTTTTTTTAGTAGAGATGTAAGCCAGGTAGTGGTGGCACACGTCTTTAATCCCAGCACTCAGAAGGCAGAGGCAGTTGAGTCTCTGTGAGTTCGAGGCCAGCCTGGTCTACAGAGTAAGTTCCAGGACAACCAGGGCTACAAGGAGAAACCCTGTCTCACAAAAATGAGAGGGGGGAGGGTGTCTCATTATCCACCAGTGTAGCACCCTCTCAACTCAGTATCCTTACATAGTTTTACAGGAGGTGCGTAGCACACTGCCGTACCACGGACCCCCGCTATCTAGATGGTGGACCTGAAGGCAGGCAATACCCAGTGTATACCTGTTTTGAAAGGAAATGTTGTCTATGTGACTCATATGTTGTCTGCCTCTGATATTAACTTGACAAATGCAGTTACAGTAACTCGTTTGTAAAAAAAAAATATGTATTAATAGATAGTGCTTTGAGTTATGACAAAATCTTGAGATGGCACATTAACTTCTTTCAAAAATGCTTTAAATTTCAAAAACTAAAAAAATACAATAAATAAATAAAAGTTTAAAGTTTTAAATTTAAATTAAAATATTTATTAAAAAATACTGGGTTGGGGATTTAGCTCAGTGGTAGAGTACTTGCCTAGCAAGCACAAGGCCCTGGGTTCAGTCCTCAGCTCCAGAAAAAAAAATACTACTAAAAAATTTAAAGAGGGGGCTGGAGAGATGGCTCAGAGGTTAAGAGCACTGGCTGCTCTTCCAGAGGTCCTGAGTTCAATTCCCAGCAACCACAAGGTGGCTTCCAACCATCTGTAATGAGATCTGGTGCCCTCTTCTGGCATGTAGGCAGATCACTGTATACATGATAAATAAATAATTTAAAAAAATAAAATAAAGAGAGCACTGGATGCTCTTTATGGACCAGGGTTTGTTTTCTAGCCCCCATGTGGCAGTTCACAACCCTCCGTAACTTCAGTATTAAGGGATCCACCGCCTTCTTCTGGCCTTCACAGACACTGTTGTGTGTATACATGAAGTGTGTAAACATATATGTAGGCAAAAAACACATACACATAAAATTAAAAACAAAAGGGAAACAAAAACAAACATTTAAAAATAAATAAATGTAACTGGGCAGTGGTGGCACACTCCTTTAATTCCAGTACTCTGGAGGCAGAGGCAGGTGGATCGCTGTTAGTTCAAGGCTAGCCTGGTCTACAGAGTGAGCTCCAAGACAGCTAAGGCTACACAGCAAAACCCTATCTCAAACCCTCTCCCCAAAAGAGAAAATAATAATAAATAAATAATAAACTAAAGAAACACAAATTTATTCGGTTTTGTTATTGTTGTTGTTTGGGCTTTTTGAGACAGGGTTTTCTGTCTGTGTAGCCTGGACCGGCCTGAAACTCACTATGTACACCAGGCTGGCCTCAAATTCATAGAGATCAACCTGCTTCTGCCTATCCAAGTGCTAGAATTAGAAGCATGCACCACCACACCCGCATGGGTTTTTCTGTTATTTAAAACCCAGATTTTTAAAATGCTTGTCAATGTAACCTCCAAGGCAGCGGGAGTGTGTGCTCTTAGGGACAGGAGTAAAAAGCAGCGGAGAGGTCAGGAAAGGGGAAGGAGACAGCGTTCGTTCACTCAGTCGGTCGCTTTACACACATCAACATTTTTCAAAGTTTAAACGATCTTGTGAGACAGGCACTACTACAGCCATTTTACAGTAGATCAAGTAGCCTGACCAGGGTCAGAGAGCCGGTGAGCGACGGAGACCAGATTTGAGCCCATTTTCCTCTTAGGCTTCATCGTCCTGCTTAGCCCTAACTGCCCTGCCGGGAAGCCTCGGAGGCAATCCTGGAGAGCCGCCCGTCACAAGTCACTGAGATAATATACACCCATTGTTTTAGTTAATGCAAACAGGTACCAACCGCGGCGGCAACAGGAAAGTGGCCCCGCTGAGCTGGGAAGCCCCCTCCCCCCCGTTGGACCTCCCAGGCTCTAGGTAGCACTGCCTCCCCCACCTCGCTCCTTCCTTTCCCAACCCCCTCTCCTGCAGCCCTATCTAGACCCCTAGTACTTGTGCCTCAGTTACTAGGAAACGCTAATACCAGCCTGCAGGCAGTGGTCCAGACACCTGCACCGCCCGCTTATTCCGCTGGGACGCGAGCTGCAGACCTCCTCATTTCCTGCTGGCTTTTTCGGTACACCTCCCGCGGGGGATGCAGCGCTTCCCTGAAGCTCTCCCCTCACCCTTGGCAGCCAGCTGGGCGGAAGGAGATTCCCTGAGTAACACCAACTCCATCCCTCCCGTCCCCAGGGCCGTTTCAAGAACAAGCTTGCAGCCCTTTCAGAGGTCAACAAGACGTCCTCTGGTGCTCTTGTACAGCTCAGCCTCTCCTCCTTATTTTCCTTGTCGATACAATTAGGATAAAAAATACTGCTTTGCCTCCACTCCTTTGCTTATAGCATAACGGCCAGCAAGAAAAAGTGCACGTTTCATCGATTGAAAAAAAGCATTAATTTGTCGAATGACACAAGGCCCACCCATTATCGTAATTCCACCGTCAAGGAGGGGACAGAATTTTTCTTTGAGACAGGTCCCGGGCACCAAGCCCCTAGCTTTCCCACCCTGTCTGCAACCTGACTTGTGAATCCCCAATCCTAAACTTCCTCTTCCTGCTTTCCAGGGCTGAGCGGTCAGGGCTGGTGTCAGGGTTGAGAAAGGCTGCCCCCTGCTGTCCACCTGGTTCCAAACCATTGCAGTACCGAGAGTACAGAATTTAAGAACCAATATCGCCACCTAGTGGCTAAAAGCGACAGGTCGCCAAACTGAAATCTCCTGGCTTTGGTACCTATTTGGCGGGGACCTGCAGAATGAAGAGCAGAAATTACCCCCCCACACTTCCGGTACTTTGTGTCTAGGCTATGGGTGGCTGTCCCCTTGCTTGGCCAGAGCTTTTGGAGGAAGCATATTTGGCCATACTTCAGGCTGTGTGCTCAGAGCATGTGAGGCAAATGGTGGCATTGTAGAGGAGATAGGATGGAGGATTCTGTCAAGGATACAGTGTTTGACTTGTGGGCAAGTTACACTTGCAGTTTTATTTTAATGTTCAATGACAAATGTATGCTCTCCAAGCTTACCCCTGCTGTGGCCCCTCACAGTTACCTGGTCCTTGGAATACTCAACTCAGAAAATGTTCTGGTTCTTAGGGCTGGAGAGGTAGCTTAGTAGTTAAGAGCACTGACTGCTCTTCCAGAGGACCAGAGTTTGGCTCCAACCACCCACATTGGGTGCCTCACAACTGCCCGTAATCTCATCTCCAGAAGATCTAATATCTCTGGCTTCCATGAGATGCCAGATATCTTTCTGATATCTTCTGGGCACTCGGAAGTGTGCACATACCCACAGGTGCACCTGCCTCCCCTGCACACACACACACACACACACACACACACACAATTTAAAATAATAAAAATAAATTCATTAAAAAAAATTCTGTCTCTCTCCCCCAGAACATTTGTTAGTGATAAAAGAGCCAGAAGGAGTTGGTGACATACCTGTCCACTTAGCTCTAGGGAGGCTGATGCAGGAAGATTGAGAGTTCAAGGCCAGGGCTGGAGAGATGGCTCAGAGGTTAAGATCACCGACTGCTCTTCCAGAGGTCCTGAGTTCAGTTCCCAGCACCCACAGGGTGGCTCACACCCATCTGTAATGAGATCTGGCGCCCTCTTCTGTGTAGATAATAAATAAATAGATCTTTAAAAAAAAGTGAGGAAGCCTCCATGCGGCTTCCTTTAAATTAAGAGAGAGAGAGAGAGAGAGAGAGAGAGAGTTCAAGGCCAGCCTAGGTAAACAGGGAGCCTCAGCCTAAAAAAGAAAAGTAACACATTTCTCATTTCTGTGTGTTCTTTCTTGCCACTGAACCTAGAGCCCTGCCTGAAGCTTGACAGAATAAAAGCGGAGCCACAACTGATACCTGACTGGAAGGAAGCAGGGCGTTCTCAGAGGGAAAAGAAAAGTGAACTTTGGGGGTTAGTAGACGATCAAGAAGTGTAGTCAGGCCGCTATGAACTTCTCCTCTGGACCCAGAAACAGCCCCAGGAAGAGGTGAAGACAAGAGAGAAGACTTCTTTAGCTTACAAGAGGAAGTGGACCCGAGAGACGCACACTCGAGGTCAGAAAACAGTCATGTAGAAGGAAAGAGAGCAGTGAGCTACAGTGAGCTGCAGCGCCTGCACGCACCCCAGGGCACAGGAAGTTGGAGGCTGAGCCTCCAGCCAGCGTGGGGTGGGGTCAGCCTGAACCTCTTTCAGCAACCAGGGCCTCAGCGGATCCTGTCTGTTGGTTCTGGGGCAGCAGCCTGCCTGGGCCTGAGGTACAGGGCCCATGTCTTGTCCAGAAAATCCCGGCTATGTCCAGGCAGCCTGGGGCAGGCTGCTAGAGGTAGCCAGGATGGGAAACATGTGCACAAGCCCTGTACAGAGATCTAGCCAAAGACCCTTAAGAAAGCAGCACTCTGGAGGCAAAGGCAGGCAGAACTCTGTGAGTTCAAGGTCAGCCTGATCTACATAGCGAGACCCTGTCTCAAAACTAGCACACGAGCTTACCCTGTGCTAGGCCAGGGGTGGCCTGGTCCTAGAACCTATTACTCCTTCCCAAGCCCTTCCAACGATGATGGCCTCCACCCAAGAGAATGTTGTGGGAGGTGGGACTTACCCCAGGGTAGGTGGAGTTCAGGACTTGGGGGGACAGGGAGGAAGATGTCTCAAGGGAGGAGTTTAGACCAAGTTGGCACTGGCGGGGTGCTTTCTCTGTCGGTTCTGGCGAGGCACCTTCCTCTGCACAGACCTCGTTGGAAGTCGGAGGAAGATGGACATTCAGAGGAGCTGCCCTGGCCAAGGGGGTGGAATCCCTTGAGCTCACAGGACAAGAGGGGACCTTTTCCCCAACAGCAACTTCTGGACTGTGGCTGGGACCTCATCAAAGAGCGCCCTAACTGCTAAGCACCCCTCCCTCTGGGGTGTGCCCTGCCCCTCCCTGACTCACCCCAAGGAGAGAGGGGAAAAGGGAAGAAAGGAGAGGCACTCACTGACTACGGAAGGAAAAGGAGGAGGAGGAGGAGGAGGAGGAGGAGAGAAGCCACGTAGGAGTGGGTGACAGAAAAGACCAGAGAGGTCAGACCTAGGGCAACTCTAGGGCCGGGGGGAGATCGAGAGAGGGCAGGCTGAGCATCCCAAGAAGTGCCCCAGCACAGGACCCAGGGGCGGGGAGCCAAGGGGGCGGGCCGGCGGCTATGTCCCACGGGACCTACTACGAGTGTGAGCCTCGGGGTGGCCAGCAGCCGCTCGAGTTCTCGGGGGGCCGAGCCGGGCCCGGGGAGCTGGGGGACATGTGTGAGCATGAGGCCTCCATCGACCTCTCTGCCTACATCGAGTCCGGGGAAGAGCAACTACTTTCTGACCTCTTCGCCATGAAGCCAGCGCCTGAAACCCGAAGCCTTAAGGGCCCGGGAACCCCTTCGTTCCCCCACTACCTGCCGGCTGACCCTCGGCCGTTTGCTTATCCCTCACATACATTTGGCCCAGATAGGAAGGCTCTGGGGCCTGGCATTTACGGTAACCCGGGGAGCTACGATCCCAGGGCTGTGGCCGTGAAGGAGGAGCCTCGTGGGCCGGAGGGCAGCCGGGGCACCAGCCGAGGCGGCTACAACCCGCTGCAGTACCAAGTGGCACACTGTGGGCAGACAGCGGTGCACCTTCCCCCGGCGCTGGCAGCACCTGGCCAGCCCCTCCGCGTCCTCAAGGTAAGACGAAGACCAAGGGCAGCTCTCCCGGGGTCCACCCCGGGTTGGATCAAGGTGGTTGGACTTACGGGGCTTGCCTAACAAGTCTGTGTTTGGTGCTCCTGGGGAAACGGCCCACCTCGAGGCCGTGTGTCCCCTGCTCTGTGAATTCCCTTCTCCGAACTCCACTTGTGTCCCGAAGACCTTGGGGTTGCCGCTCTGCGCTCATCTCGGGCTGGACCAGCTTCTCGGCTTGTCCACTATGCCCCTTCTCTTGTTTCTCGGCTGCCTGCTTCGGGAAGAGGAAATGCTGCTGGTTGTAGAACTGTAGAACAGGAGACTTACAACAGACAAACCAAAGGAAGGGGTCCTCAGAGAACATGAGCGCATGACAGAAAGCTTTGAGCCGGGTGGTGGTGGTGCCCACATTTCATCCCGGCACTGGGGAGGCAGAGGCAGGCGGATCTCTGTGAGCTCGAGGCCAGCCTGGGCTACAGAGCGAGATCCAGGACAGGCTCCAAAACTACACGGAGAGACCCTGTCTCGAAAAGAGAGAGAGAGAGAGAGAGAGAGAGAGAGAGAGAGAGAGAGAGAGAGAGAGAAGAAAGCAAGCAAGCTTTGGTTTCAGACCAAGGACCATGTGCATCCGGGTTGCAGTCCTTCGCAGAGGCAGGGTGGTGACTGGGAGACGGGAGATGGGAGCTGCCTGCCTGGGAGCCCTCTAGTCCTTGGAGGCCTCAGGTATTGCCTTGGCTGCTGAGATTCCCCCCTCAGCCTCTGCCCTGCCTCCTGGTGGACCCTCACTTCTCTGTCCCTCTGACTTACCCTCCAGGCCCCTGTGGCTGCTGCCGCCCCTCCGTGTAGCCCCCTCCTCAAGGCCCCCTCCCCAGCTGGGCCCTCCCACAAGGGCAAGAAGGCCGTGAACAAAGACAGCCTCGAGTACCGGCTGCGACGGGAACGCAACAACATCGCAGTGCGCAAGAGCCGGGACAAGGCCAAGCGGCGCATTATGGAGACGCAGCAGAAGGTGCTGGAGTACATGGCCGAAAACGAGCGTCTGCGCAGCCGCGTGGAGCAGCTCACCCAGGAGCTGGACACCCTTCGTAACCTCTTCCGCCAGATCCCCGAGGCCGCCAGCCTTATCAAGGGTGTGGGGGGCTGCAGCTGAGCCTGCCTGGCAGACTGTGGACACCAGACCCTGAGGACCCCCACCCTCCTAGGTCCCCAGAGTCCTGAACAGGCCAAGCCTGAAACAGCGATCATGGACGATGGCAGCCCAGTAGCTGGGAAGGTCGGGACCATAATGATTCTGTGGCTGAATAAACGGCACTGTGACGTGATGCTGGAGCTGTTCACTGGGTCTGGGGTCTGGGCCTGGCGGGAGTGCTGTGTGTATACTTGTGGAAGACCCCGAGGGCAGGGAATACATGTGGCTAGGTCCACATAGTCTTGTCTCCATGTCCAAATGAACATCTAGTGAACACTGCCTAGCGTCTGCTAGCAAATACACCTAGGAAACGCTGCCCACAGCTCTCTCCATCACACGATCCATATCCTTCCACCCACCCAATTGGTCCTTTGTAAGGTGAACGCATGCTGGGTACCACCACTGTGCATGCCAGCACCCGGAGCAGCCTCTGCAGATTGTCTTGGAATCTGGGGGTTCAGGGTGATCCCAACACTACACAGCTCCAGTGCCAGGCCCTCTGACCCTAGGTCTGCTTTGTTACTGTAAGGCCTGGGAGCTCTTCTCCTAGGGGACTTCCTGATGATGGCTCGGCCATGTTTGTGGTCCCTTAGCTCTTGATCCAGCATGCCATCTCTTGTTCCACATCCTGGCTCCAGTCTGTAGCTCTCATCCCCTAGGGCTCTGGCCCCCTAACACTGGAGAGGGTGAACACCTGGAGAAATCGGTTAGGATGTGAAACCCCCGCGCTCCAGGTGTTTTCTTTCCTGTGGAACTGCAGCCAGGAAGCCAAGCAGTGCGATAATGGAGTCTCGGTTTGCATCTCTGCCACGGGTGACCTGTCTGACCTTGAACCAGTTACCCCTCCTTTCCGGGCTGCAGGGTCTCCTCATCCGCACCGAAGGAATCTCAGCACCTATCCCGCGTGCTATTTTCATAGAGAAATGGGGTTTGACATGCGGTGAGCACGGATGTTCGTTCTGGTTCCATTTTGCAAGAAACAAAAAGGACGTCCGACCTCCTCTAAACTTCTCTTTTTGCAGGTGAGGAGCCTGGGGCCTCGGAGAAAGGAAGAGACACCTAGAGTCACTCAGCAGTGAGGAGGTAGAATCAAAATTAGCCCCGTGAAATCACAGATCTCAAGAGGCTCTAGGAGAGACCTCAAGAGATCATCTGTGTGAGCTTTGCCCTCAGACAAGCAAGATAGTGTGAGCCACATCTTGTAGATAAAGCAGGGAAGGGGGCCAAAGGGGATAAGAGCTCGCTCGGTCCTCCGCTGCCTCAGCACGAGGCAGCGCTTTGCTCTCCAATCCTCCCCTCGGGGAAAGACAGACAGATTGTGGCACAGGAGCCCCGCACGGTCAAGACGGAATTATGAGAGCTGGGGACGGACGGCACAGAGTTGGCAGAGTGCTCGCCTGACGGTCGCAAGACCCTGGGCTCCATCACAAGTGCCACGAAGCAACAACTGAAAAAGTAACTGTGAATTGTCCCACAATGTTAGAGACTAGACAGGAAAGCACCACAGTATGTGTGCGTGGAGGGGTGGGGGCATGGTGTATATGGATCATCACAGGTCTGCTTCTCTTCCCACTTCCGACCTCAGTGGGCGAAGCTGTCACACACCGCAGGCGTCTGTGTGCACCAGGCTAACCTTGGCCCAAACCCTTCCCACTTCCGTCTCAGCACCCTCCCTTTTCCCTGTGTCCTCGGCCAAGCTCTGATCAGGGGGCACAGACTTGAACCTTAGGGTGGACTTGAACCTGTGCGTGTTGCTTGAGTAGGAGGTGAAGGTGTCCGTCTCTATGGCACCCGGGAAAATCCTCTCCTCTTGCCTTCAGCTCTAGGGATGCACAAGGGGGGTTTGCACAGAATGCCGCTGGTGACTCAGTCTCCTGACTCCCTCCATTTGGCTTAAGGCCACCCCACACACCCCTGGACTCCTTTGAAGGCATCAGATGGTAGGGTCTGCTTTGCCTGAGCCTCTTTCCCACGGCTCTGAGCTGTGCCTCCTTCCAGCCCCCCGGTGACCTGTCACTCCTCAGAGTGTCTTTCTTTCTTTCTTTTTTCATTTACTTTATGTGTATAGGTGTTTTGCCTCCTTATATGTACATGCACTATGTTCGTGCCTGGAGGTAAGGAAGACCGGAAGACGGCATCAGATTCCCTGGAACTGATGCTACAGGCATATGTGAGCCTCCATGTGCCTGCTGGGAATTCACCTTGGGTCCTTTGCAATAGCAACAAGCACTCAGAGTGTCTTTCTAATTGGCACTGGAGCTAAGGAAGAGCCATCTCCCCAGAGAGATCCCAGTGAGATACGACAAGGAACAGGCAAGCACCCCCCACGCCATTCCGTCCGAGTCGATCCCGAGGTGCATTGCCACTTGCGGGCGGCTCTCTATCTGATGTTAGCTGGCTTCAACCAAACTAATTTACCCAGCGGATATTGCCAAGCATCTTTGCTGAGAAAGAGACGATGCCTCAGCTGCAGGGATAGGAAGGAAAGTTAATAAACAAACGTGTCTCCCGCCTCCGTGGCCCTTCCACCCACCCCTCCATTCTCTGTCCCTCCTCTTAGCTGTTCTGCTCTCAGGGGGCTGCCTTCCTTCATCGGCAGGTTTCCCAGAGTGAGGGGGACTGGTGTAAGAGGGCGGGCTGGAGGAGAGGGAGGCAGAACCTCTCTGCCAGGCCCCTCTCTTAGCATTCCCTTAGGGCCCTGGGGTGGCAGTGACCGCCCTGCTATTGAGTCTGGAACTTGCCATTCCTGTGGCTTCCCAAGACCCTCCTTGAAAAGCTATATAAAGTGCTTTCATTCTCACGATCCCATTTGAATGTGCTTGTGTGGGAGTCAAATTAACCCACGGACCCTGTCACAGCTAGGAAAGTTAAAGGCCTCTTGGAGAAAGGGACATATAAGTTGAAACGTAAAAACTTTGGAAGGGGATGATGGGCACAGGAAGAGCAATGCAAACCGCCGGCGCTAAGTATGGATGACCGGCAAGGACAAACCTGAGTACTCCAGAAAATACCCTCTCTACAGAAAGGAACTGCAAAAGACTCTCCTGCCTTCCCTCTGCCCTGATGCCTCAGCTGGGAGTCTAGCTGGCTTATCTCTGACCTGAGAGTGACCTCTCAGGGATGTCCACAGGGAAAGGACACCGTGGAAGGAGGGGTACCTAGCCAACTCCTGCCAGAGTTTGGAAAGTCTGTAAGACCGAGGGTCGAGAACCCGTGAAAACCAGCAGACCAAGCCCCCATCCCCACCCCCACCGCCACCCCCCACCGCCACCTCCATTCCCGGCCACTTTCCTTTCTTGGACATGGCTGAGGTAAAGGACAAGAACTGAGACTCGATCTCAGGCTGCAGGGAAGCCTGTGAGAGGAAGGTTGTGGGGAGATACTGATACCATGAGGGAAGGAAGCTGCCCAAGGTGAGTCTGCCAAGGTCAGTCAGCGGGTGCTTGTGAAAGCTGCCCCCTTCGGTGCGCACCTCCCAACCCCCAGAGATTGCCTCACTCCGGGGCCCCCAGGGCCCCCATCCCAGTGTTGCAAGAGCCCCGTTGGGGTTGTGGTGGAAAAAAGGGGCCTCTTCACCTCCACCCCTTGCCCTGCTCCAAGCCTGTGAGAAGACTCTGGTGTAGACAGCAGGCCGAGGACCTGTGGACTCACTCCCCGTGGACGTTAACTAGTCCCCAGCAGGTCAGTTCCTCCTCCAAAGTGGCAGTGGCCTAACCCAGACAGTGCTTCCTAGCCTGACCTCAGAAAACCAATGGCAGGTGAGAAATCCTCTCCATGGGGAGAGAAGGTGGGTGTATTGGAAGGAAAAGGGGCCGCTTGACTTTACCAAAATGGCCATCAGCTGTGACTTGATGGAGCAGGGGAAGGATCCTGTGCCCTGGCAAGGGAAGGCCTTGCTTGCAGAGAAAGACCCACCTGCAGAACTGTGGCTTCTCACTTGTCCTAAAAAGCAAGGTCACGATGTAGGCAGAGGCCAGCCATGTTATAGCATGGCTCCACCCCAGTGTCCTGAAAGCTAAGCTTTATCCCAAGGGCTCAAACTCAAAACCCCTATCATCCCCGCAACACCTAGTGGCATGGGCACCCTGGCCAGGCCATCCAAACCCTGCTGCAATCGGGACGGTTTGCAAAACTCCTACCAGCTCCTCTTTTGTTACCATCTGAGGTTAGGACTGTACTTGGGAGATAAGCGCGGGCCCCACCCACCTGTCCCACAGACTGCTGGCCCTTCTGCAACTGGGAAGGTTTGCAAAACCCTCGCTAGCTCCAGCTGTCAACATCTGAGGCTCGCTAGGGCTGCACTCCAAGATAAAGGCTAGCCCCACCCACCCGCCCTGTCTTCAAACCTCCAAAGTGTCATGGCCCCAAGAGTCAGGGCTCCTAGGAGCCCACTCGGGATCTGGAAGCCTTCTCCGGCTAGCACAGAGAGCTCCTATCTGTACCTTGATGTGCACAGCCTCCCTTTCTGGGTTTGTTTTTGTTTGTTGAGACAGGGTCTCATCCTGAAGCCCAGACTAGCCTAGAATGCAAAGCAATTTTCCTGCCTCAGCCTCCTGAGTGCTGAGATTTCAGGTACAATCCGCCACACTCAACTTCTTTCCCTAGCTTTTGTCCTCACCTCCCTTCACACCACATTCAACGTTTTGTTTTTTTTAAGAAAGGCCTATGGAACATGCACCCTTGGCCAGGCGCTTTACTTACTGTAGGAACCAAAGGCTACATGAGAGTAGTCTTTGCTCTCATAGAGTTTACAGTTAATAAGGGTGGCAGGCAAGCAAGGTACCACAAATACAGAACTCTACATTGGGGGCACTGCTGTGGGCTAAAATAGAGGTGACCTGTGATCATTTTCATTTGTTGTGAGACAGGGTCTCACTGTGGTAGTCCAGCCTGGACATGGGGCTCTTTTTGTTTGTTTGGTAGGTTGGGTTTTTGTTTTCTGAGACAGGGTTTTTCTGGGTAGCCCTGGCTGTCCTGGAACTCACTCTGTAGACCAGGCTGGCCTCGAACTCAGAGATCCACCTGCCTCTGTCTCCCAAGTGCTTCGATTAAAGGTGTGAGCCACCACCACCACCACCACCACCACGGGACTGGACTGCTTCAGCCTGTCAGGTACTGAGATTGCAGGGGTGTACTACCATACCTGGTACCAGTGGTGGGTTTCAATTAAAGCATCTGCTTTAAATGTGAGGGCCAGGAAAGGCTTGTTTGAGAAAACAACAGAGAAGCAGAATCCAAGAGGTAAGTCTGGTAAAAAGCAGGGATTCCCACATAGAGACAATTGTTCCAAAGCAAGTCTTTACCATTCACAGGCACAGTCTGTGGTTGGAATGGGACAAGCTAGATTGGGAGGGAGAGGGATGCTCGGGATGAGGCCCAGCAGGGAGGAGGCTGGAGTTCCCAAGCTCCCTCAGGTGGGATCTAGAGCATCATGGAAAGACTGCCCTTCCTTCCAAGAGAAGAGGAACCCCCCCCCTCTCTTAGAAAGGGAAAAGGTAGAAGCAGATTAAAATAGAACTAGGGAGTGGGCAAGACTGTTCAGGGGGTGAAGGCACTCACTGTCAAACCTGACCCTAGTTCGATCCCCAGAACCCAGTGGTAAAGGAAGAGAAGAGACTCCTGTGTGCACCACGGCACACATGGCTGGTTAGACAGACACACGAGACTTTTTAAATTTTATTTTTAGATTTATTCATTACATTTTATATGTACGAGTGTTTGCTTGCACATATATTGTGCACCACATGTATTCCTGGTGCCCAAAGAGGTCTGAAGAGGGTATCAGAAGAGGACCCCAGAACTGGAGTCCTGGATAGTTGTGAGCCATTATGTGGGTGCTGGGAATTGAACCCAGGTCCTCTGCAAGAGCAGCAAGTGCTCTTAACTGCTGAGCCATCTCTCCAGCCTTTAAAATAAATGTGGTTTTTTTAAAAAAAAAAAAAAACATATAACATATAGCAAAGAATTTAAAACACATAGTGTTGAATTGGGCATGGTGACACATGCCTTTAAGCCCGGCATTTGAGAGGCAGAGGCAGGAGGATCTCTCTGTGAGTTAGAGGCCAGCCTGGTCTACTTAGTGAGTTCATGATCAGGGATGATGCATAGTGAGACCCTGTCTCAAAGCGCCAAAAATAGTGATAATGTTTTAATCGTTTGATAATGTTTGGCTGGGCTTAGGGAAGCAGCCTTGCCATCCTAACACGCAGTGGGCTAAGAAAGAACAAGAGTAAGTTTGAGGCCAGTCTGTCAGCCTTGGCTACATAGCAAGATCCCATCTTAAACTAATAAAAAGATTTGCAGCAGACAAAGCCTGTTCCTGTCTTACAGCTTTTATTTTTCATTGTGAAAGAAGAGGCTCCTGAATCAAGTGGCTGAGCTGCCGGGGAGGCTTCAGCTTGAAGGTATAAAATCCCAGTTGCAGCCAGGCAGTGGTGTGCATGTCTTTGATCCCAGCACCCAGGAAGCCTGGTCTACAGAGTGAGTTCCAGGACAGCCAGGACTACACAGAGAAACCCTGTCTCAAAACAAACCAACAGCAACAACAATCCCAGTTGCTAAGTGTGGGAAGAGAGCTGGTTGTTGAGATTTCTGACTTGGGAACATACAATCGAAGCTGAGCATAAGTGTTTTAGATCAGAGCAGCCTGTTTTCCGGAACTCTGTGGGTCCTTAGCTACTCACCTACAAATGCAGGCAAGTGCTGGACCCATCGAAGGGTGGGGCTTAACTAGGGAGGTCAGGTGGAAAGGATAGATAGCGAAGGGGAGCCGAAGAGATTCAGGAAAGAATTTCATCAGAGAGTCCACAGCCTAAAGCAGAGAAGGAAGACTAAGTAAAGAAGGGCCACAGTTCCTCAGCCAGCTTGTCCGACAGCTGCAGTGAGCCAACCTAGCAACGAACCATAAGGAAAAGAGATCATATCAGAGAGGGGTGTTGGATTCCGTTATTTCATAGATGTTTCAGTTTCTAGTGATGATAAGGCTCTGGGCACAGCCCTGGGACTATCTCACTTGAGTGGAATGGAGGACGAGAATGTCAGAGGTGGAAGGGCCAAGGGCCTGAGAGAGGAGCATGCTGGACAGAGCAGCACACAGTGATACCATCATAGCTGCAATGCCACCACCTGGGGTGACTGGTCCTCAGGCCACCCTCCCTCCCATTTTCTCATTATCCTCCAACTTCCGGTCTCCACAGAGTAATCCTCCCCTTCTCCGGTTTCTCAGTCCCGTCTTTATCCACATGCTCTCTCCTCCACCTGTGCCCCTCCATCTCTCCGGTTTCTCTTTTCTTTTCTTTTCTTTTCTTTTTTTTTTTTTTTGGTTTTTGGAGACAGGGTTTCTCTGTGTAGCTTTGCGCCTTTCCTGGGACTCACTTGGTAGCCCAGGCTGGCCTCGAACTCACAGAGATCCGCCTGGCTCTGCCTCCCGAGTACTGGGATTAAAGGCGTGCGCCACCACCGCCCGGCCAGGTTTCTCTTTTCATCCTAACATAACTTCCACATCCCTGGATGAATTAGAGAAGCCACACTGTATAGTAGGTGTGATAAGGCCTCTATGAGGGTTGAAATCCTACTATTTTATTGCTGTGCCTCAGTTGTAAAATTGGGATAATAACAATAATACCTAAGCCTCCCAAGGTTTCTGGAAGGCTCATAGGAGTATAAAATGTTTGGAACAGTGTCAGGACACGAAAACATGCTGGATATGACCATGGCTATTGATGTAGCTCCTCACCTCCTTCTCCCTCACCTCCACTTTCCCACCACCACCATCCTTCCATAGTTACTTCACACATCTTCAGAGAGACGAGTAAGACGATCTCTGTCTGAAGTCTGGTAGAGAACCAGAGTCACACAGAAGTCAACATGGAGCTGGGGGCGATGGGGAGAGGTCGAGTGGTTAAGAGCATTTGCGGGGGGACCCAAGTGTGGTTCTCTGCACTCACATGATGGCTTACAACCACCAGCAACTCCAGTCCCAGGGGATCGGATGCCAGGCACACATGTCTCACACACGCAGGTGAAACACTTACACATATAAAATAAATAAAGCTTAAACATAAAGATTAAATAAGAAAAAAAAAACATAGAATTTGGCATAGTAATACATTTCCGTGATCTCAACACTGGATTTCAGTAGAGGAGAGTAATCAGCAGGATCCTGAGTTCAAATGAAACCTTCTTTAAAAAAAAAAAAAAAAAAAAAAACTGAGACAAAGCAGACGTGGGGAAGGCCTTTAATCCCTTCACTCAGGAGGCAGAGGCAGGCTGATCTATCTCTGTGAGTTCGAGGCCAGCCTGGTCTACAAAGCGAGTTCCAGGACAGCCAGGGCTGTTACACAGAGAAGCCATGTCTTGAAAAACAAACAACTTGTTTTAAAGATGAGAAAGGATTGCTGTTGGAAGACAGTATATACAAATGAATGCTCTCTTCTCTCTGTGGAATAAAGGAAATCCCAATGGGCAGATAACTTGGATCTGGAACAAAGCAGGGGCAAGGTATTTATTTCTTCTTTAGTTAACTGTTACTTCCTGCAGTAGGCTAGGTCTGTTCTGAGAGGTGTCACAGAAACTACTTATAGGCAGGCAGCGGAAGGAAAATAAGGTGTCCCTGCGTTTCTCCTGCTGGTGTGGGGCAAGTTCCACCCTCCACTCCGACAGCCCTTGTTAAGGATAGCCCCGACTCCAGCAGGGTCAGGCCTCTCTCAGCATGGCCACACGGGGGCAGCAAAGGACAGGAACGGCTGCAGAGAAGGCCGGAAACCTGAGAGCCAGGCTGACCCAACATCACATAAACACTACTTATTGGGACTTTTTTCTTTTCTTTTCCAGGAAAAAAAGGTGTTCAGACAGCTAGAGAAAGCTATATTTGTCTCAGAGAAAGAACAAGAGTCCCCTTCAAGCTTGTACACCTGATAATAATAAAATGTTTAATTCTAAATTCTCTAACTGCAGAATGTGTGTGTGTGTGTGTGTGTGTGTGTGTGTGTGTGTATGTGTGTGTGTATGTGTGATTTTTTTTTTCTTCTGGTGAAAGTGAAAACAAGACCTTGCCCCGGCCTGTATAACATATATCCTTTTTTAAAAATTTTTATTTATTTATTTTACATCCCGACCATTGCCTTGCCTCATAATACATATTCTTTTCTTACACATGAGTGCCAGTGGAGGTCAGAGACACTGGATTCTCCGAGAGCTGGAGTTATAGATGGTCGTGAGCCACCTGACATGAGTGTTGGGAATCCACTCGAGAGCTCCAGGACGACCCTTTCAAAGCGGTCGCAGATCAGAAACCCCGCCTATCAGATATGTACATTACAGTTCACAACAGTGGCAAAATTACAGCTATGAAGCAGCAATGACATAATTTTATGGTTGAGGTCACCACAACTTGAGCAACTGTATTCAAGGGTCTCGGTATTAGGAAGGTTGTCTTAACTGCTGGGCTGTCTCTCCATGCTCTGAGCAGCTCATGCCTTACAAATACTCCCTCACTCCTCAGAGCAATCTTTTAAAATGGGAAAGCCATAGCACTTGGTCAAAATGACATATATAGAAAATGGCAGAGTGGCTTTGGCTCCAGAGTGGAGTGTTTCCCTTGTCACATGTAAAAATAGAGTTGTTGCTGGGAGGTGGCACACACCTTTAATCCCAGCATTTGGGAGGCAGAGGCAGGAGAGTCTCTGAGTTCAAGGCCAGTTTGGTCTATAGCTCAAGTTCCAGGACAGCCAGGGCTACACAGAGAAACCCTGTCTCAAAAGGAATAAATAAATAAATAAATAAATAAATAAATATATATATATATATATATATATATATATATATATATATATATATATATATTTCCCAGAGAAGCCAGAAGGTCCCTTTATACTCTAGCCCTGAGCTAGCTGTGATGGCGCACACCTCTGATCTCAGTACCCAGTACTCAGGAGGTAGAAGCAGCTCCTTGGTGAGCTCCAGGCCAGCCTGGTTTGCATAGCGAGTTTCAGACCAGCCAAGGCTGCACAGCGAGATCGTGCCCCCTCAAAAACTAAAAAGAAGAATAGCCTCTAGTCCTTCCCTGTCGTTAACTAGATGCTCCGCTTTGACATGTGGGACTTTGTCCCTTGCCTTCAAGCAAAGTAGTGGAGCAGACACGACACTGCATGGCTGTAATCTGGGGGAGCAGAGGCAAGAGGGTCGCAAGTTCAAGGCCTGAGCTACATAATGAGAGAAAAGAAGCGACAATAATAGTTAGGGATTCATCCCCACACTGAAGACCTGACAGGAAGTTGGCTTCTTCTAGGAGTTTGGGAGAGCCGGAAGAGCCTGAGCCTGAGCCTGAAAAAAACAGGTCTGGTCAGGAGCGGCAAGGTCAGGGACCTCCTGTAAATGTTCCCTCCCACCTCTGCTGGGTGTGAAATTTGGGCTGGGGATGTTAAGAAAGGCTTCCCAGAGTAACTACCGGAAAGGTGGGAGTTAGGCCCGCAGGGGAGGCAGGGCGGGCGGCCAAGCGGGAAACAGTTCAGAAAAGCACAGTAGGAGCAAAGAAAACAACGGGGCCCCAGGGGTCCCCAAAGAATACCTTTGAACTTCTGTTCCGTCCATCTGTAAAGTTTATTTCCCCTTTCCTGCCAACCAGTGAGCAGGTAGGTTCTGAGAAGCCTCCCGGGCCTAGCCCACAGCCTCCCCAAGGAGATCGGTCAACTCAAGTGTGTTTGCTGTGTACCAACTGACACAGGTGCAGAACATTCCTGAAAGTCTCACAGCTTAGTTAGAGGCTGGCCCAGCAAAGTGCAGGACCTCTTTGCTCACCTCCAAGGAGATGGGCAGGCATCCATGAAAAACAACCAAACCAAACCAAACCAAAAACTACTGCCCCCTCGCTTTCCTCTCCATCACATTGCCTCCACTTTTCTGTTGTTGTTTTGGGGGGAGACGTCAAGGCTTCCCACTGAGAAAGATGGGAGGGGGCAGGAATGTGGGGTGGCCCCTCTCTGGAAAAGTAAACCGAAGGCTCAGAACCACACTCCTCCCCAGGACTCCGCCTCTGGCACCCTAGAGCAGACGGCCCCAGCCCTTGTGGTTCATATCCTACCTCCTAGTAGGAAACTAGATTTAGTCAACAGCTTTCAGCTCTTCTAAGAACAAGCAAGAAGGTGCCAGGGGTGTGGAGAGAGCCTAGAGAAAGGGCAGGAATAAGTGGCCTGGCCACAGCGGACAGGACCCAGGGCAGCCTGAGGGAGACACAGAGTGAAGATGCGGCTGCTCCTCCTCCTCGCAGTGGCCACAAGCAGATGTCTGCATGAGGAGACCCAGAAGTCTGTGCGCCTTCTCAGGCCCCATTTCTCCCAAATGCCCACACGCTTCCGCTCCTCAATCCCTCCTCTCCCTGGCTCCCATGACCCTCAACCCCTTAGAATCCAGACCTACTACACAAGGGATCCTGTATCCAACGAAGCTTGGGATCCTGAGGGAGACGAAGGGAGAGGGGAATCTCGAGCCCGGGCTGCACTGAGAGAGACCATCTGCAGGATTCAGGGTATCCTAGCAGGTAAGGTGAAGACAGGAGTCATCACGAAGGGCTGCGGGGTAGAGGAGGTCTAAGAGAAACAGGCCATCACAGAAAAAAGAGTTGGACTCAGATGATGAGGTGAAATTGTCCCGTTGCCTTAAGTCACCCCAGTACAAGGACCTCTGCTTCTCAGTCGAGACCCTACACAATACTGCCGTGCCGTCTGGGGAGACCCAGAGACCCCAAACTACCACAGGTGAGTCTGCCACTGGTAAGGTCTTCTCCAAAGACGTCTAGAAAATGCCTCCAGCTCACTTCACATTTTTTGACAGGTGCAGCCTCTTGAACCCCGGATACAAAGGAGAGAGTTGCCTTGGGGTAAAGGTGAGAGCAAGTCACCAGCCTCGGGTACCTGGAGGTCTCTAACCTATTTAGACTTCCCTAATACCTCAGCACTTAAAAGGACCTGATCTCAGATGTGTGAAATTGTCCTCTTGTCTCCGTCTTCATAATGATGTACATTCCTTAGTCTCTTTCCACTCATGCTCCTCAAGAGATCTGGGTAGCTAGGGGCACAACTCTGCTTTAAACACACACACACACACACACACACACACACACACACACACACACACACAACACACACACCTCAGTTTGAACCTAGGCCTTGCACATGCTGTGAAGTGCTCTGAGTTATACATGTTCAGCTAGGAATCGGATTCCAGCTGGCTACCTGGATGGTATTGAGACAGCCCGAGGGTATCTCCTTCCTCCTAGCATCCAGTTTCCATCCACCTGCTAGCCTTCTCCTCGATTTCCTTCCCGGACAGATACCCGATGCCCACCTGCGTGGTTATTCCTTGTGGCCAGAGCATGGTCTGCCCCAACTAATCCAACCAGATGGCCCTGGAGTCCCAGACACTGACTTCCTCCTTTATGTGCGGGTTGCCCACACTTCCAAGTGTCACCAAGAGGTGAGGGTCAAAGCCCACCCCTCCTCCCTGCTGCCTCTCTTGATCCGAAACTTTGTAAGGAGGGGTATGGAAATAGAAACCATTTTATTGAGTTGTGCTTCTTTGCGGGGGGGGGGGGGGGGCAGTCTGGAGTACGCTGATGAAGCTTGAATTGCGTAGGGGCTAAGAACCTTCCAGGGTGGCTATGGGCACCAGCCCAGCAGAGCTCCAGAGCCCCGGCTCCCCTCCTTTCTACCCTCCCTTCTCTTGGCCTGTGGGCAGGCGGCTGCCATAGCTTATGCTGCTTGCTGCCAGCTGGATTCAGCCGACAGACCCCTCGCTGGTACCATCGTCTACTGTGCCCGACATCTCACCAGCCCCGGCCTCAGCCACAGTGACATCGTCACGGTGACTACTGCATGATGGATGTGGGCTGGGGCTGGGGGCGGCTGTCTCCCAGGAACTGAGGATGGATCAGGAGGTGCCTGAAGCTCTGCGGAGAGCTGGGTACCCAGAGGGGCTCGAGTTCTGCTCCGGGGCCAGCCCCTCGCTCTGCCGTCATTTGCTCTTAGGCCACACTGCACGAACTGCTCCATGCCCTGGGTTTTTCCGGACAGCTCTTCAAGAGATGGAGGGACTGCCCCTCAGGACTCAGTGGTAACCGGAAGGAGTGGGGGGGTGGGGGGGCTCCCTATAATGTCGACCAGAGGGAGTTCACCGCCTTCTATTTCGCCCTTTCTAACTTTTCCCTTTTGAAGTCAGCTGGAGAGAACTGTTCCACAAGGAAACAAGTGACAGGACGAGATGAGTGGGGGCAGCTGCTTCTCACCACCCCGACTGTTAGCCACAGCCTCGCCAGACACCTGGGGGTGCCAGGGCCTTTGCGGGGTGCGCCCTTGGAAGAGGAGGTGAGAATAACACCTTGGGACGATGAAAGAAACTGGGAGTAGCCAAACAGCAACCAACTACCTTACCCAACAGGGCTCTCTGTCTTCACACTGGGAGTCCAGATTATTCCAGGGCTCTATAATGACTGCTACCTTTGATGGTGCCCGGTACACTCGACTTGACCCGATAACTCTTGCTGCCTTTGAAGATTCGGGCTGGTATCAAGTCAACTACAGTGCCGCGGAGGAGCTATTGTGGGGTCAGGGTAAGAAATCAAGATCGGCAGGGCTTTGTGGGAGGATGTAGTTTGGAGTTCGTTGCTGCTAAGGTGTAATTCAAACTGTAAGTGGCGATGGTACTGAGGGATGTCTGGGGTGTCTTTTCTTTTTTTTGGGGGGGGGGAGGCAAGACAGGGTCTGGCTATGTAGCTCTGGTTGTCTGGTCCTGGAACTCACTATGTAGACCAGGCTGGCCTCCAACTCACCAAGTCCCTCCTGGCTCTTACTCCCAAGTGCTGGGATCAAAGTCAGTCACTGTGTCCAGCCTAAGGCTTCATCTTTGAGGACTTTCTTTTCTTACCGCACAAGCAGGCTCTGGGCTAGAATTTGGCCTGGTGAGCACATGCAGGAATGGATCCTCAGACTTCTTCTGCACCCACAGGTGTGTGCCGAGCGGGCCGGGGACTAGACACCTGTCCTCGAGCCCAGCACCATCTCTACTATCCTTTCCACACAGTGGGCTGGGCTGCCACTACCTGCACCTGGACAAGGGGAGCTGCTCCTCGGACCCAAGGCTAGAAGGCTGCCGCATGTACAAACCCCTGGCCAGTGGGGTGAGTGGACTACAGGACAGAAAGCAGGCGCTGGAGGAGTCGACCTCGACAGCATACACTAGTCGACCACTTCCCTCCCCTGCAGAGTGAATGCTGGAAGGAGGAAAATGGACTCCTCCCCAGAGCGGAGAACCCCCACGGGGAGATCTACCATCTGCATAGCCGTTGCTTCCTTGCCAACCTTACCTCCCAAGTGCTCTCCACAGACAAGGCCGGCCAGTCCTCCATCACTCCCACAGGCCGTTGTTACTTACATCAGTGCACACACGGGGGAGGATATGAAGTGCGAGCCGAGGGCTCACCGTGGGTGCCCTGCCTGCCGGGAAAGGCTGTTCAGGTGAGGTTCTTCTCTTTTGTCTTTCTTTCTTTTTTGAGACAGGGTTTCCATACTGGAACTCACTCTGTAGACCAGGCTGGCCTCAAACTCACAGAGATCCACCTGCCCGGGCCAGGCATACGCCGCCGCCACTGCTTCTCCCCCCACCC